CACCCACACTACCGATTAGCATGCTTGTGCTACGTACGGTGCGAAAGAATTTCAACATACATACCCAACTGACTGGTGTATCTATTTATACTTTTCGGTGGACGGAGGTGGTGGGATTTAAGAAACCTACTCCAATGTTTCAACCGAAACGTGGCCGGGAGATAGAATCGAGCGGGCTACCTCTGGGACGCTAGTCCAGCTGGCTAACCATTACACCACCACAGGGCCAGCATCCCTTTTTCTGCATATGATAAATATATTTCATTGACAGTCGCGAGTTTAATAAGACCGTCAAATTAATCATTTATGAACCTGCGTTGTTTCGTAATAAAAAAAAAGAATCCGTCACCGGTTTTAATATCTGCATTCATATCTTGTAATATCTGCATTAATCAGTGTCGCCAAAAACAAGTTTTGCCCATGAATCAGTGTCGCCCAAAATGTTTGGGAGGCACCTGTTGCACTGCCGTCATAAAAAAAGTGCACCAAACTCACGTGCATTTCATGCCACTAATTGAGGTTATTTTTTGCGTACGCCCAACCGCGCGAAAATGCATTTCCCACTCACCTACGCTACAAAGGGAATTATTCCCTTATTCAGAGCGCCCACAAAGCTCAACGGGGGAGCCGTAAATACAGCAGTTAACCCCCCCCCCCCCCCATATTCAAATGTGTATTGTATTGCAGGTTATAATTTATGCCGTGTTTGTGTCTCAACGGAATAGTGTATGTGTACATCGACTAAACGCGTACGCGAAGCACTCTGGAAGCGTGCAATACCGAGTCCTGATTTGCACGTGGGTTGGAGGGGAGCGAGCATGTAAGGCAGGATTGTTAGGATAATTTGTTTGGAGTTACACACGCGTGTGTATGGATGTTACCTACAACATCGCAAATAATTATAATACGTAGAAGTCCGATATAAATCCACTACTGGATGAAAGCCTCCCCACATTGTGAGAATAGGTTTTCCACTTTTTTCTGGCAACAGGTGTTAAGATATTAAAACACCAAACTGAAACCTTTACAAGAAATCACGTCTGCATTAACCACAATACTTGTGGTCAAAATGCAAAAAAAACCTCTGATAATATATATGCATTTATCCCCACATTGTTCAGTCCTGGGGATTGTTTTGACCATATCTCATTATGCTGATGAAGCGGTGGGCTCAGAACTAGCTTTGATAACACGTGCCACTGATAGATGAGCGTGGCCAGGAACCAAACTCAGAAAGGTGAGTTAATAGCAATGAAGGTGAATTAATAGCCGAGTGCGCTTACCACTGTGCCACTGCCTTACCACCCTGCAGTACCAGGTATAAAAGCAATACATCAGGAGTGGCCAATCTTCCTGACACTACGAATTCACAATACCAAAATATTCATATGGCCGACAGTGACAAGTTGCACACGTCACAAGGGGAGGGGGGGGGGTGTTCACGTGACCAATTCGCTGATGCTGGTTGGCTGTTGAGTTTCAAAATTAGAAATCTGCAGGAGGACCCTGGGAGTACTCATGTCTGGACCCCACTGCCAGGGGCGAGTGCCCTTGGGCTGCTCCCACTTACGCAGATTTTCCACCAAAAAAGTTATGTTTAAGAGTTACAAATCAGCCGTGTCTCTAGAGGGCTGCATGTGGCTCAAGGGCTGCTACGGGTTTTGGTCACCGATACATTTTTCTTCCAGACTTGGTCAAATAAAAGCGCACATTACATTTCATAGTTCACACGAGGGGTGTATTTGGCATCTGCTACACTACAGTGGGGTGGAATATAAAGCGGCAGTTTGCGGCCTAGGGGCTCGGTGGTGTTCATCTGCTCGTCAACAGAACAGATGTATTGCAGCACATATCAGTCGATTTACATATGAATGAAATACCTGCTTTGCATACGAATAGAATGTACCTGGTTGACATGAAAATATTGGGGGGGGGGGGGGGTCACCACAGTTGTTGAAGAACTTACGACCTAAAGCACAGATTGTTCCATCCCTGGCTTTCCGCATTTCCCATCTCAGACGCAATGTAGAAACATGATCGCGATTGGAAAGGATGCGTCGCGGGAAGGGACGAGGCCCATCATCAAGACTGACTTTGAGTGGCAGCCAAAGGACGGAACATGCCCGAGAGGCCATCCACCGTGGAGATGGAGCGATGCCATCAGCTTTTGTGCAGGTGCTGACTACGACGTGCTACAACATTGCGGAACTGTGAGATATGGCAACGGCTTTCATCCAGCAGTGGACTGATCATGAATAATGGTGATGTGACACATACAAAGTGCATTGGTGTCACGTTCATGTGAATTTGTTACCGAGAGAGCCAGAGGCAGTAACCTATATTTTCAAGTCCTCATCTCCAAACTAATGCCCATAGAGATCAAGCCCTATATATCCGAGGCTAGACACCCCCATTATTATAAGGTGACGGGTTTTGGTAATAAACATAGGTGCTAACAAATGCATGGATACCCGACCACAAGCTTTGTAGTAGGTTACTGCCTGTCAATGGAAATATCCTAATAAGCCAGGTGCATTCCACAAGCAGAAAAACAGGAATGTAGCACAAAATATAGGTAGCTTCCGTGTGATCATACCGTACACAGGTAGTGATATACACACGCGAAAATAAATTATAAGGTATCAGCTGGGGATAGAATACTTATTGGAACAAGCCTTGCAACTATTTATTGGTTATTATCATTCATGCATGAATACGTTTAACGTATGTAGACGGAATGTGTGTGTCAATGTAAAAAAAACAGTGGAGGAGTCACAAGGCAATTCTGCTCCCGGTGCAAATCTCAAAACACTGAATAAAAAAACTTGGCTCTCAATTACCAAGCACATTTACATATTAGCACTTTCCTGGGAGAGATGGGCTCAGGATGATTTTGCAAGTCTGCGACGAGTGCTTTGGGGACACGGCAGAATGATCGGGGTTATTTTTTCTCATGTTTAGGGCTTTATACTCACCTGTATATTATTCCTGTGGTATTAATTAAAACACAGGGAGCACATAGGCATTATCGTGGTAATGTAGGAACAACTTGCACGGAAATCCAGTCGTTTCTGCAAGCCAAATATTCCACGGCGCGTCATGCCAGCTTGCAAATAGTCTACAAAATTATAATAATCTTGGCCTTAGATAATAAAACCAAAGCACGCGATTAGGATTTGCTGCAGCTCCATGAACTTTTCACCGAAAGGATAACCCAACTGGCCAAACATATGAAAATATAGGACAAGGCGACAAGGATGTACATATAACACAATGCATCAAAAAAACACATACAATGCAATGTCCTTAATTCGGAACATAAAATATACATGGTTATAGCGTAAATGATAGCGTGTTATGGATTTTTTACCATCAAAAATAAATGAGGGTCTGTTAGAGGGCATTCTGAACGTATTTATCACCACTGCCAATCAGCAAGTCATGAAGCAAGACAGCCGTTCAGTTGTATGTCCCTGGCAATTTATTTACTATTCTCCTGCAACGGCATGCATTTTCTTTGGGGAGGGGATATGAAAATAAATTCTGCCAGGATTTATTTTGCACTTTCTTATTTTTCTCTGCCGCAGAAACTATTGGCACAAGAGGCCTGGATCACCCGCAACGATAAAAAAAAGCAACGATGTGAACATGGGATTTTCAAAAAAACGATTTCCCAATCGGTTGGCAGTTTCTTAAAATCACAGCAAAACTTTGAATAAACCCACAATGCACTTGTGATAGAGTATAAATTTGTCACCAGTATAAAGTGAAACAAAATGTCTAAATTAAACATGTTCAATATCATATTCAACGTTTGAGCACACATAACCACAGCACCCATAAGCCACATGAGTTAAGCTGTTGGGAGCATGAGAGCCAATACGACTGGCTACAATGCTTTAAAGCAAGTCAGCTGCATGACTGCAATAAACAGACATCTCCCAGCAGGCAGTTTCAGCCTCCCATGGAGACACAAGGAGTGCAATATGATCTGCAATAGAAAACGAACAAATAAAATAACGCATTCTCAATCGGGGGTCCAGGCAAGCCTTGGGCTTGTGTCACTTAACATCTGGAAAGGACTAACAACTTCATCATGTAGCGGGAAATATAAAATGCCCTTTCGGTACCAGCACTTTCTCTTCTCCTCCACAGTAAGTCACATTCGGACTTGGCTACACGCCAGGTGCCCAGCCACCTCCCCAAGCATCCCCTATCCATCTGCAGCCAAACAACAATGGAGCAGTGGCATTCAAGTCGCAGTTTTTTCTGCTTGGGCAAGGATCCCTATCAAGGGAGTGAATTATGAACTCTCGTCTCTTAAATCCTGGTGCACGGTCAACAGGGCGTTCATTAGCCCGTGAAGTGAGGCCGACCTTGCCAATACATGACACTCCCATCGGAAGAGTTCGTAATACGGCCACCTCAACCCATGGCAAAAGAAAGCCTGCAGCCCTGCCATCCCAGCTACAGCACGGGCGGCTCCCGTTCTGTATTGCAAGAGTGCCGAGGGATCATCCCGTTAGTGACCCACACTGAAAGGAGTGTCAAACACGGTGTGCGGGTGCCTCCATCGAACAGTTGATTACTAAAGGGCTGAAAAGAATTACCTTTTAAAATAATTTTCAGTATCACCAGAATTCCAGCAGTGTTCTTTATTTAAATGAGATGGGGGTGGGGGAAATCGTGAATCCTTGCTTAAGCAAAAATAAAAACCTGGTTACTTTTGAGGCAGAGATCATGTTTAGGAAACGACATCTACACAAAAACGGACAAGGTCATTACCCTCCCAAACATGAGCTTCGTGATGCTGTCAGATTTCCTTGGGTGAACCATAACAACATTCACTCACATATGACAGCGAGCACAGGTCAATCCTACTTACCTTTGCATGACCAAGGAATCTGGAAAATTACAACCGACACAGGAAAATAACCCACGTCTCTTTTTGCACACTCACTCATGCACGGCACCATATCTCTCCCCTTCTCTCACCGTACCTGGGGCAGGTGCAGCTGTAGGCCCTCGCTGGGGATGGGCTGGCGGCTCGGTGCCACGTCCAGCTGGACGTTGAAGATGTTCTGCAAGGCGGCCTGTGCCGCGCGTGCCTTGGCCAGCTTCTTGTTGCGCCCGGAGCCCTCAAAGGTCTGCTCGTCCAGCGTCACCGACATGACGAAGTTCTTGGCGTGGCTCTCGCCTGACTCTGACACATAGTCGTACTTGAGGCCCGGCCGCAGCTCATTGAGGATCATCACGGGGTTCTTTCCGCTCGCCGTCACGAGCGACGCCAGGTTCTGTGGGAAGGGGCTGTCGGGTGGTGGCTTCCGATCAGCCACGGAATGACCGCCCCCGCCGTTTGTGCCGGTCATTGCCGCCACCGCCGCGGCGGCCGCGGCTGCCGCGGCCGCCAATGCCTCGGGCTCGGGAGGTGGCAGCTCAAAGCCGTTAAAGAGCACGTCAGGAAACTCGCCCAGGTCGGACGTGAAGTCGGCGGCCATGATGGGCACGCGCACGCCACCGCGGGCGAGACAGGCGTCGTACTCGTTGTGGAACTGCACGAACGAGCGCATCGCCTTCTCGGCCGCCTGCTGCTTGGCCTTCTTCTTGGTGGGGCCGGAGCCCTCGTACTTCTGGCCGTTCACCTCCACGGCCATGATGAAGCACGGCGCGTGCACAGGCCCCGTCTGCGACACGAGCGTGAACTGCAGGCCCGGCTGGATCTCATTGAGGTGCATGAGCGCGTTCTTGGGTAGCGCCGGGCCCGGCACCTTCCTCTTCTTGATGGGACGCCTACCCATCAAGAAGCCCCTCTCGCCATTGTTGCCGCCGTCTTCCAGGGGCCGCTTTCGCGGGTTGTTGCCATTCGCAACACCCCCGAATAGACCGCCGGTTGTGGCCATGTTTTCTTTGACGTCAGCGCCGACTGAACCTACGACGATGCCCAAAAGGAGCAACTTATGACACTTTTGTTGTGGGATCTTGTAAATGACAAGATCAAACAGGACAGAGGACTTTAACTTTACTCTGGACAATGGATGACTTTTTGTTTAAATGAACGCGACGGAGTTTAAGGATTGCGACAAGGACAAATGGAGGATGAAATGTGGTCTGCAGTCCTACATTTTTAACTGTATCAGAGGCGAGTGCCTTTTTTGAAGACGTGCACTTACAATCACGTGGGTGACCAAACCCGGAACTGTCGCAGATTTCTGGCCGATTTGCCCACAAGACAGGAATTGGATGAATGTTGCCGGGAAGGTAGCACTACCGCGTTAGCCAGAGCCTTCGCACCTTTAATATTTTATTGTTTCAATTACATGACACCAACTGTTATATGGTCCGAAAACTGATTGAGAATACTTGCCAAAAAATTAAGATTTGGAAAACAGGGGCTTGAAATTTCAAGCACTGCAGATGTTTTTCGAAAGCATAAAGAGTAATATATGAGTGATATATTGTAAACATGGACAAGACATAATAAAGTATAATGTTAATCTTGTGAATTAAAAAGGAAAAGAATACGCAATTTAATCAACTTATATTGGCATAATTAAAAAATAATGAGTTCAAATGATAAATTTCAACTAAAGTGAGAATGTAGTGTGGCAAGGTAGGTGAGCACATCGGAATGAAAACCATAATTATTCCATATGGCCACCAATTAACAATAATTGGTATGCATGTAATCAGATTTGGACGAGAAAACAAACCCATTATAAAATATATATTGTAAGGAAATCAAAAACGCATGCAAACACAATGTGGCAAAGCACACCCATGGTTCCAGCAGTAAAGTTATTAAGCCTATTAACACTTTATAGTCTGGCGTGTTGCAACTGGTGTTTGAGAGTGAGATGGTGAGAGAGGAGAAAGATGAGAGAGAGAATTAGAGGCAGAGAGAAGTGCCAGGCATTGAGAGTGATAACAAGTAGAAGACCCAGACTGTAAAGCATCAATAGCAACAACTCATTTATAACATCCTGCAGCAAAAGGGCAATAGGTTACTCTTAGAGGGCACTCAAAAAATGTTTGAAATCTTGCTCCAAAATCAGGACAAATGACTACATTCAGGAAAAAAACAGCAGAACAGCACATCGGTCAGTCAGTTGCACGCATTTGACAAATGATGCAAACGTTGCTCACGAAATAACACATGGGGCAATGCACATGGGAATAGTTATAAATAAATACGAAGCAATTCAATTATATAATATTAAAATGGAACATGCATTGAGAAAGATACGAGCGGTGCCAAATGCAAAGGCAAACCACACGTCTCACTAAAAAAAATACAATTTCATTGATTAATAGCAGATATTAAGCAACGTGTAAAAGTAAGATCTAGCTCCAATTAAGTATGCGCTAAAGCAGCAACTGTTTAATACCAAGCACATTTTGTTTGTATTAATGGTTAATGTGCCCAAAAGCGTCCGTAGATCACAATGACAAAGTATTGCTGATCAAATTTTGATTTAAAGCTTTCGTGACTGCAGGGATTCATATTCTTGGTTCTTTCGGTAAAGTCACGTAGAAGGGAAACGATAACGATTGCTTGTGTTGCAGTCAAAACGTCGTGAGAATTTTATTGTTTTAAATTTTTATTATTTTATTGTTTCCCTTCTACGTGACTTTACCGAAAGAACCAAGACTATTGCTATCACTTGTTTCAAGCCTTGAGTGCAGTCATGAGAGTGGCAATAAAAGAGAAAGCATATTTTTTAAATTTCATTTTCAAAAGGGAAAGCCCATTGAAGTTAATGATTTAACAAGGGACACCACCAGGTAACAAGTTCTTAAATATATTCCATGATAACGATGTTACATTATGAGACCTCCTTTGCCAGAAACAAGATATAGGAATAGGTTTTACCCTTTTAACTGGCACAAAAACTGACACTTTTATTGCAAACATGATGCCTTGAATAAAGGTGTCAGTTTTTGTGCCAGTTAAAAGGGTAAAACCTATTCCTATAACGATGTTATTTTATAATTTAGCTCTGTCATTTTCAAGTTTGGATTTCAGGCCATGATACCAGCCAAACAGGTGCCTACTCTTGAGACCTCCTTCGCCAGTAGCAAAATATAAGAATAGGTTTTTAACCCTTTTATCTGGCAACAAAACTGATACTTTTTTTTACAAGGGATCATGTTTGCATTAACCACATCACCTGCGGTCAAAATGCAAACAAAAAACAACTCTGATAATGTATGCATTGTCCTTGAAATTGATTGGTCCACACCCGAGACAGCTTTTCTTAGAGCCTAGTCTCACAAAGTGCGCCTTTTGGCGTCATCTGGTCCAACACCATGTGAGACAAGGCTCTAAGAAAAGCTGTCTCGGGTGTGGACCAATCAATTTCAAGGACAATGCATGCATTATCAGAGTTGTTTATGTTTGCATTTTGACCGCAAGTATTGTGGCTAATGCAAACATTATCCCTTGTACAAAAAGGTATCAGTTTTGTTGCCAGATAAAAGGGTAAAAAACCTATTATTGTGCCTACTCTTGTGAATATGCCACAGAGTCTGTAACAATCACTTCCTATAAAAACTGATCCCTAGCAATGAAAGATGGGTATTCGAGGCAGGAGGAATAATTGTGTCATTTTATGGATCTGAGAGGTGGGAATTTAACTAGAAGCCTTTGAACACAGGCGCATGATAAGGATGCTCGGAATTTCATGGCAAGATATGGTGGGTTACACAGAAATTTCAAATAAAAAAGCAGATAAATTGTTTTAAATTGTAATAAGTAAGAGAATACTATGTATAGAAATTGTGTGTAAAATGGTGGAAGACACGTCACCAAGACAGGCATTGTAGTGGCACCCAGAGGTCAGACCTAAAAAGCCAGGTGGTGGAATAGTATATGAGAGGGCATTATAATATATATTTTTTGGCAATTTATCCTTAATGTTAATTCCAATGAGCTACTGGAGTCATGCAATGAGACAAAACATCCATTCGGATCTCTTGCATAGCACTGCAACCCTGGGAAGCGGATAACACAGCTGTCCGAGATACCTTTAAGTGACCTCTGATCCATGCGGGAAGGAGTAGTATGAGAATGATGCTCGTCATGTGACAGCAAAAGTAATATTTTTGATTATCAGAGCTGAAATGTGTCCAGATTAAGTACAGAACCATATTTTGTGATTTTTTTGTGTGTGTAGTCAGACCAGATTCAGACCATTAGTGCACTATACTTGAGTTTAACCATTAGGCAGCTGTCGAGATTCAAACCCAGGATCTCATTAATGGCAGCTCAGCGCTCTCCCCTCTGACCTCTGAACCACCCAGAAACCTCATTGTCATAAACCTTTATCTTGAGTGGGAATCGATCCATCCATCCCATGCTGAATGTATCAGCAGTGAAGGCGCCAAACACTTTTATCGGACCAGGATTTCATGCATCTATCCGATAGGCAGTAAATTTGAGGATTTGAAGATGGTCATGAATGCAAATCTTTCTGTAAATGCAGCAAACTATTCATCTGCTCCACTTAGGAATAAACTGGACAGGCTTATTGAAGGGGGAGTGTAACCACCATACATGAGTGACAGGAATTTTCATTGGGCTTTGGAGCACACAAAAGATGCCGGACCAAAACACTGATAGCAACGCATCAATTTTCTCAAACAGAAAAAAATATACGACAAAAAAAAGAACTCAAGTATGCAAGCACAATGTCTAAAAGGTAGGATGGAACAACTGTATTGCTTCCATGACACACTTTTAAGGAGCTGCAATGCCATTCAAGAGGTGCACATCCACATTTGAGCATCTGTATTTGTCATTCCTCAATTCACACTGCAGAGTAGCCAAACATTCCCTTTAATATATGAATGATAAAAGGATTTGTTGCTCCGACTACCTAGACATATGAAAAATGAGCCAAACACTCTTCAAATGTAAATGATAAAAAAAACAAAAAGCTCCGTTACTTTTCTTGGCGGCCTTCAGTTAAACTTTTATACGCCATTCATCATTTAAAAGTTTGGCGACTTTTCTGAAAAAGAGAGCAACTTGACTCTGCTCAGAAGTGTTCAAAGCTGAAATGTGATTGAAAAAGAAAAAAAGATGCATCTCAAATTAAATGAAACGTGTCCACCCATGCTTTATTTATCTGCTACTTACCTCCTGAATAATGCACGATAAATAAAGCAAATAAAATATATATATCCATTCGCCACGTCCCATGCACAGGGACACATCACGTGCAGGGAGCATAAAATTCAACTTGCACACATTAAGGGCCATTAGTTGTGGTTATTGCTTAAAGCAGGGTATATATTATGGATTACATATTGCCATCCCAGAGATGAAAGATGAAGGGCCCCGAAGATGCATCATCATGGTCCCACTTTGTCGACAAGGTTATTGCGTTACCACGAGCAGTGCGAAATGTCGACTGGGGAACCACTACAACACCGCTGATAAATTCTATGCAGCCCCTAACGCTGGCTGGTATTAGTTTCTCCCACAAAGCGAGATTCCTGCTGCTAGTGCAGCTGCTGCGTCGCAGCCAAGCATCCCAATGCAGGACCCTCCTGAATGAGTCTCGAGACTCGGCGAGTCGTTTCTGCACAGCCCTTTTCTCAACCTATCGCTGGGTAAGGGGCCTCACCATGTTATGAGCATCATTTGAACATACTTCACCAGCATGATTAGTTCAGCAGGTTGGTTAACACGGGGAGCATTGATGGACGAGTTCACTGCACTGCCATCTGCTGCCTACCATGTAACCCTGTAGTCCAGGAACATACAATTTGTGCATGGTGGTCACCCATCCAAGCAGTGTCCAGGCTCAAATTTACTTATCTTCCAAGATTTTATATGATTGGGTTTCATTCTGGGTGAACCGGTCATCGATAAACGACTAATATCACTTCTTATTGATTACATAGAGCAAAGTGCCAAATGGCATGGTTCACACACTCACCTTTAAAGATGTGCTATGCTTTTGGGCTATATTTCAAGGGGTATTCTCCATACTTTGCTTTAGTAAGTAATTTCTGGGACATGTCCAGTGTTCATTAAAATATGAAACTACCGCTTGTATTGAAGCTCAGTTATAGCCAATGTCCTACACCACAAGAATAACCGTGCACAGGTGATCATTTAAACGAGCATTCTGTGGCAAAACAAAGTTGGCTTCTGCGGGCAAAGTGAAATGGTGAACAGTTTCCACAGTGGCACTCGGGCAATATTTACACGAAGTGACTCCATTAGGCCACGTGCAATTTGCGTGTTTACAAGCGAACCTGTGCTTTATTCGGAAATCATTAATTATTAAACGTGCGCGGTTAATTTGGGCTCAACGCAAACGCACAACGGCCCTCTCTTGCGAGGTGCCGCAGGGGCCTTTAATGTACGCGGGCACACGAGGCTTGCTTTTTTGATACCCTGCCAGTAGCACAATTATGTATTCAATTGTCTCCGTGTATTGGGATAAGCCGAAAAGAGGAGCTGAGAGGGAACATTGTTTATTAAGAGTGGAACAAGGTGAATTATTGTATGGTACTGAACGCTGGCTCCCACGTGCAACAATTCATCGTAGGGATTCAGAACAAGAAAGACTTGCCTAAGGGCAAGTTGTCAGCTCCACCTTTTGCGGCATCACAACAGAGCATGTGTACCAATTGACAGGTAAATGGGCTTTCTCTCCTGGTTACAAATAAACACTACGATGGCGGTGGGATATGGCTATGACACGTAGGACAGCGCTGTCCACTGGTAGACCTGGAAATCTGCACAACACTGGTAAACCTCAGGATAACAGTGCACCCTCCCATAAGATCAGCATTTTCTGCTACTCCAAATAAAAGCCAGCTAATGTCCAAATTGTGCAACAGATTTCACATGATATATAGACTAGCCTGCACATTTGAGCCATCTAAAAACACCCGTGCCAGGCTACAACCCTCATCGAAGGCAGACATTGACGTTATCACTTCATATTAAGTGAGGTAACAAGAAGGATTTGACGTTTCCAATTAGTTTAATATGTTCTTCTTACTCATATCGCCATCACTCCCATCTTCCATCTTCATAGTCTCCTCCTGGTCATCACCTGTCGAAAGGACACGTCCCAAGAGGCGTCTGTTAATCACGAATCCACAATCAGTCAACGCACGATCAATTAGCTGCGCAAATGGGGCCCGGACAATGAACACCAATGTCTTCTGGAAACGCCAGGGTGATAACACAGTCATTAGGGGTAGAATAATACCGGCACCTGGCCCTTTTGAATGGCAAATGTACGCACACTTTGTTCTCCGAATTAATTTCTAATGAAGTGTTTAAATGCATTCTCATTCAATATGCCACATGCTGTTTTAGAATAAAGGGTTTCCCATTTAGCACACTGATTATCTGGCTTCACCAATCGAGTGCGTTCGTTAATTTCTTAGTTTCCAGGGGACAGGCTGATGGTCGAATGAAAAATGCTGATGACAAAAGAAGCTGTTGCCTTGAACAGTCTAATTCAGCGTCCGGAACTATTAAGGCCATAACCTCTTTGTGGAATGGTCATTATAGAAACCCATTGCTTGGCCTCCATGCTATTTACAATTAAACCATTCACTTTTCAAGTCCAGTTACATCAATATTGATATGCTGCACATGTACAGCATGTGTATTTAATCAACATGCAAGGACGTTATTTTAATTCACCTAAAAGGCATACCAAGTACTTCTTCAAAGCAACAATTAAAGGTTGGGCACAAGAAAACTTGCCAAATGTTAGTGGTGCGACCACATGGCAATATATATAAAAGGCGACCGCATCGACCGAAAAATTACGTGAAATTTAATGCACAGCCTCGATATGTTTTTTTTGAAGCTGTCGGTAAATTTCAGGGGAAAGTAACCAAGGAATTTAATGAAAGCTGACCATCTGCCACGTGGATTCACAGATTAGGAATACAGCACAAACGGCACGTGCGTATCTAGCGATCCAATGCATGACAGAAGGAACCTACTGGCGCGAAGAGATGGGAGAAATGTCAATCTACAATGTGCCATCCCAGGGCACCCGCTTCATTGCACAATGTGAATTTAAGGATTGTCAGCTCGGACAGCGCAACTTCTTTAAAGGCCCAAATCAAGCCAGGGCAAAGAGTGTATCATGCGCACTCGGATGTGTGTGCGTTTGGGTTGTGCCACGTGTTTTTTCGGCGTAATAGCTGACGTGTTGTGCCGAGAGCTTCTCGTCGTTTACGTTTTCAATGCGGGCAATGCACCACAGATTGATGCAAACGCCAAATGACGTTCCAATCGTCGGGCACAGTGCCGAAGAAAATCGATCCAGCTCGAAAACACGTTGGAGAGAGTGATACGGCACAGCCCGTAAAAGAAATAAAAGAACCTATGCAGCAGTGGCATGTTTTTATTAGTTCATGTTGATCGTATCGTTCAAAGACAGTGGTTTTGAAGAGCTCAAGCAGGCGAATGACAATTTGAACATATGGCTTGTTTACAAGTGCTAGGTTGCACCGTTTGTCTATTCCAATGAAAAGAACATTGTTGTCACAATGACAATGGAACCGCATCTATTCTTACATTAAAGCGTGATTCTGCAATACGTTATAATTACACGCAAGTGGCCTCTGTAAATAAGAAGTATCAAATATAATCAGATTTGTCACCCGCATTTTCAATGCGGGAACTGTTCGACTTAGTGCAAATGTAGCTTTTTACTGGTAGGAAACGTAGTGGACTGGAAGCCCAACCGGGATTAATTCACAGGAGGCAGGGGGTTAATTGTGTATGTCTGTGGATGTCTGTCCACGTGGGAGGAGTGGGGCTGGGTGGAGAGGGGAGGGTAGGGAGGGGCTGGTCACCCCGTGGTGCCCTTATAAAACTCAACGTTTAACCTACTCACGCCGGCTTGTGCCCGCCCTCAGGTCGGGAATATTTGTGGAATACACCACGCCGCCGTTGACGCTGGCCATTGACCGAGCAACCCAACGTTCCTACCAGCTCCCTCCGCAGGAGAATTGTGTTTTAGGGTGATGATCACGTCTTAAAAAAAGAGAAGTTCTCTGCACGTAGGTCACACGCGCACGCCCATTCCACTTTGAAAATGACAGTCAAGGGTTTTCTGATGATATCTGGCTCCTGTCAGGGCAGCATGGTAAGAGGGATGGTGTTTACATGTAAAATCTGCAGCTCTCTCCCGAGGATATCGCCACCCAAATCAGACCTCATATATTCTACTGCCATTGAAATTGTACTGCTTAGTGGCGATAAAAACACACACATAATATACCTGTATGATTAAATATTAAAATAATATTTGTAAAAACAAGCAAAGTGCACTCTATTAATTCTCGTAAATTATATGCCCAGGTTCCTAAATTAATATGATTGGACATAAGGTTAAATAGTTTATGCATTTCATGAGTCTCTCCACATTATGTTGGCTATAAACACATTTTTAAAAATACATTAGTAGCATATAATGCAGGAGAAAGACAGAAAAGCCAGATACATTTGAGGCAGACATTTAGTCTTTTCCAAATGTTCAAGTCACTGGCTGCTCGTTGGCTCAAATGCAGCGGTTCTCAAAGTGCGGTCCCCGGTACCACAGGGTGGTCCGCTACGGTTCTCCAGGTGGTCTGCAGGGCTGTGATGCAAACGCAGATTGATCCGGAAATAAAGACGTTTTTACCTTCGTAATTTAATATTTTACTGATGATATACCTGTTGGCCCCTTATCAGTGCCCTACCTTATTACAGACCAATTCAGACCGTATTGATCACCCAGTGCCCTTATAATTGTCAACGTTCCTCCTACAAAGTCCCATCACAAGGGAAAAACACAAACAAAGACAAAAAAACATTTTTTGCCCGTATTGAAACGGCTGAATGCCGTATGGACCTGAAAACTCAATTTCCTTGGACAAGAATATGGGTAAACCGTATGGGTTGACAGATGTGATATTTAATTTAAAAATAAAGTTAGATTAAACTATCCTAACGTCAAGATTTAAATGCCGCCACCCCACCATAAAAAAACGAAACCTGATAGCTGCATTAAAAGAGGTGTTTATGTTCTAATAATAATAATAGGGGTTTTCCCCTTTTTTCGGTGCTCGACCACATGACGCCATGTGGTCGAGACTCAAAAGAAAGCCGTCCCTTGGTGTGGACCAATCAGTTTCAAGGACAATGCATATATTATCATAGTATTTTTTTTGTTTGCATTTTGACTGCAGGTATTGTGGTTAATGTAGACAGGAATCCTTGTAAAAAGGTTTCAGTTTTGTTGCCAGAAAAAAGGGGAAAACCCCTATTATTACATTTTGGTACTGGCAAAGGAGGTCTAATGATGCATTTTTATGTTCTGTTATTATGAATCATTTTGTATGACTGGTATTTTGATATTTTGAGAGAGAAGCGAATGCGTTGTCGCCAGGAGCAGGGGGGAGGGCTGGGTGGTCTGCAGAAATGTTTGCATCGGCTGAGTGGTCCGCGGGCCAACATAAGTTTGAGAAACAGCACTCCAATGCATTCGGGAATGCTACGATATACACATTAAAACTAGCTGGCACACAAATGCTTTTGGGAATAAAAATGTGAACTTAAGTAGCCTTGCTGATTGTAATACAGTGATATTTTATATGTAGCAAGTGTTAAAAAAAAGCTTACAAATGGTTTCTTAAGCACGATGCACTGGAATAATGCCAATAGGAATCTAAAACGTATCTAAGAGCAATACAACAATATGTACGGCATATATATCTCCAAAGCATTCCCAACTTCTTCTCCCGTTGCGCTAATACAAGGGCAGCAATTTAAGTAAATGGGACAGTGTGGCCCCATACGTATGCATTTATGTATATGAATTCAACACTTCATGCGGTACACAGTTACACAGTACAATCTCATCCGGTCAGAATAATTTAGCCTGAAAGTTTTCAGAAATTCCTGAATTAAAGAGATTTATGTCCCACAGGGGCCGTATAAAACGAACATGCCATTTCATGCATCCCCTGTTAGCACACACGGATTGCTGCATATACGCAAGGCAAAATGTCATAAAATATGCAGTAAAACAATGAGAGGCAATAACAAGTTGACAGCTTCACTTCCGGGCAGGTGTTTGATAATCTCAACTTTTCGAGGCCCTTAGTCATGGTCAAAAGTGTCCTCTTTTCATTCTCACTCGGTGCTAAGCGTGCACAAACTCGGCTCATTTTACTCATCGAATATAGGCTCAATTCAACTATGAGGTCGTTTCACAAAAGGCAAGTTTGGGGGCTCAATAGGTTATGTTATGTATTTTTTACTAACTCCACGCTTGTCCATTGGGAGACGTTATTCTCAGCTTAAAGCAATTCCTGTCAGGGCATGGAACGCAAGTCTCGAGTAGGGCAGGTTTTTTTTTTCCTCCCCTCAATGGGGAAAAAAAATGGTGTCTGTTCTCTAGGGGTGCAATGATTCACCCCATCCCTGTGATTCCATTAATTGTCATGATTTGAGGTCAAGATACAGCTCATGAATCAATTTAGTTTGTTGGTAATTGTACGCCTCGCGTTTATAGTTTTGTCCACCGCAATAGCCTAAACAGAGCATAGTGTGAAAAAGTCTAAATTGATTTTCACGTGCACAATCAGTTGCGTCTACCGACAGTGTAAGAATCAATTATAATCGATGTAATGATTCGTCGTAACTTGCCTTCCATCCACAGATGTTGAGCGTTTTAAACAAAAAATCCACTTGCACGTTCGTATTTACACCCGAGCTAGATGTCAGATGACGTTAAAAAACAAGGGTGAAAAGTGCATGGAGAAACATTGCAGGAAGCATGCTTGCAATTACACCGAGAAACAAAAAGACGGACACATGAACTCAAGAAAATACAAATATAAGCCATCATATTGATTACAGTATTTAAAAACGTAAGCGGGTTTTTGGGCAGGGCACGTTGCTATCAGGGATGATAGCTAGTCAGTGGTCAAGGTTGAGAGTGGCAGGCAACGAAGGCAACGTACCCCAGAGTACATCCAGCTTCCACGGAAGCTGGAGCGACGGGCATCAGCTCTTGGGCAGGAGCTAAACCGATTG